TGCCGACGCCCGGCCCTGCCTTATATTTTACACTCCACAGAGCATCTGTGCTCCTCCAAACTGATCAGCTGCTTCAGAAGCACAGGCTGGAATGCACTTGATCTGCTTCTTGACAACTTAGAGAGAGAGAGAGAGAACGCGCGAGCAAGAGAAAGAGAAAACAAACAAATAAGAAGTTGTTGCTGGTATTGCAGTGTTCGGTGTCTACTATCGCTGCCATCCAGATTTTATTATGAACGCTACCCTTTGAGATTAACACTGATCTAAGTGTCTTTTTTATTGCAACACTTAATTTCATTGCAGAGTTTATTTCTCTGAAGTTGGCGCCTATAAAACCGGCCGCATTGGATCCGTCAGCCTATTGCGAGACTCCGGTGTACAACCCGGATCTCTGCCCCAATATGATAGCTGCTCAAGCCAAACTAGTCTACCATCTAAACAAGTACTATAATGAGAAATGTCAAGCTCGGAAGGCCGCTATAGCCAAGACCATCAGGGAAGTATGCAAAGTGGTGTCAGACGTGCTCAAGGAAGTGGAAGTGCAGGAGCCACGGTTTATCAGCTCTCTCAACGAGATCGACAGCCGCTTCGAAGGGTTGGAGGTTATTTCACCTACCGAGTTCGAGGTGGTCCTCTACTTAAACCAGATGGGAGTATTCAACTTCGTGGACGACGGCTCCTTACCTGGCTGCGCCGTGCTAAAGCTAAGCGACGGGCGCAAGAGGAGCATGTCTCTGTGGGTGGAATTCATTACGGCTTCGGGTTATCTCTCAGCGCGTAAGATCCGCTCCAGGTTTCAAACACTGGTGGCTCAGGCTGTGGACAAATGTAGTTACCGGGACGTGGTGAAGATGGTGGCTGACACGAGTGAAGTGAAGCTCCGGATCAGGGACCGATACATCGTGCAGATCACTCCCGCTTTCAAGTGTACTGGGATTTGGCCGAGGAGCGCGGCACACTGGCCATTGCCTCATATCCCCTGGCCTGGACCGAACCGGGTGGCGGAGGTCAAGGCCGAGGGGTTCAACCTGCTTTCCAAAGAGTGTTATTCCCTTTCCGGCAAACAGAGCTCAGCCGAGAGCGATGCTTGGGTTTTACAGTTCGCCGAGGCCGAGAACAGGCTTCTGCTCGGGGGCTGTCGGAAGAAATGTCTATCCGTTCTCAAAACTTTACGCGACCGGCACCTTGAACTGCCCGGGCAGCCTCTCAATAACTACCACATGAAAACTCTGGTTTCCTATGAATGTGAGAAACATCCCAGGGAATCAGACTGGGACGAGTCATGTTTGGGAGATCGCCTAAACGGGATCCTACTGCAGCTCATCTCCTGCCTTCAGTGTCGCAGATGTCCACATTATTTCTTACCCAATCTAGATTTATTTCAGGGCAAACCACATACCGCTTTGGAAAATGCAGCAAAACAAACCTGGCGCCTGGCGAGGGAGATACTCACCAACCCCAAAAGCTTAGAAAAACTTTGAAAGTGAACGCTTACAATATTTAAACGGTGGTTTTTATTTTGTTACATATCAAAACTCGCATTTGTCGTTCAGTTGTGGCTGTTGATGTTTTGTGTACCGTGAATTCTTAGACGAACAAGCTGACTGGTCCAATCTTTTTGGATACTGCTGGACATGTTTTTGCTAAAAGAAGACATTACCATCAAGGTATTTGTAGATAAATATAATTGAAGTTTATCGCTATCTGATGTGTCAAACGCAAAAGTTTACATTCTGGCGACAGTGGTCGTTTCAGATTTTTGCTTGTTCATTCCTTTATTACTCATTCCACCATTACTTGAATTGTTATTTAAACTATATCCAAATGGAAATCTGAACGTTGCGTATACATAATGCTTGAATATCGAATACTGGAGAAAATATTGAAAATATGCACTTGGAAGACACTGGATTAGAACATTTTGTGACAACGAACATTTTGAAATTCCTGTTGCTGAAAATATTTAATTTGACATTAATAAAAGCAATGATTAAAATTCTTACTGCTTGCAGTTTGTAATTAATTACTTAAAAGTCAAATATTCTGTAATTGAAGTCAAAGACTAATCACTTTGCCAGTCTCATAATATTTACAACAATGCAAACATAGGTTAATTGCTTAAAAAATTCGCCGAATGACAAAAAGTGCAAAAACGCCACAAACTAGTGTAAACAGCCTATAGAAACGTAGTTATTTGTTTTGAGGTTGATGACGTAAAACAAACAGTATTGTTTTAAAAAATGTTATAAATGCACGTATAAACAAAATTAGGAATTAACGTAATGGGTTATGTTTTTGGAAATACTTTTTAGAAGAGGTGTAACAAGTATGGGATTCTGTAGAAAAACACGCTGTTGCAATTCTCTAACAAAAACGCGTAAATTTTATTTTATCGAAACCTATTATTGCATTGAAATAGCATTAGAATCTATTGTTTAACCTAGGAATTTAGAATAAGGCGTGGATAATAAAAGTCTGGACAACACACTTAATGCATACGACCACTAATATGTTCATTAGATAAAGGAGGAGCGGGCTTAAACGGACGTTTAACATGTTTACATATGAAACCTCATTGAGGAATGGCGTAAAATTTTAACATCAAAGGGCAGCAAATTTGTCAACATACCGGTGAATTTTTAAGTTAATTTTAATCGAACTGATCTAACCAGGAATATACGATGACAATGATCTTTTTTTGTTGTCTCAAAGTATTTTTAAATGTCCGGATAATAGTGTTGAATGGGTGCAGTAAAACCGGTTAATCTTCTCTGGGCATTCTGGGCTCTCAGCTTTACGAAAACACAGTAGAGATACAAACTCATAAAGCAGAACATGAGCAGAAATACTAAGACGAGGTGAAGAAAACAGTATTGTTTTAATGTAACACAGCAAACTATTTCGCAGCTCGATCAAAATTGCTTCCATCCTATTAAAAATAAACTTGCAAAGGAACTGATTTGTATTTTCTGGAATTTGAGCAATGACCATATGCAATATGCCCTTTTCAAATATTTAAAACTAAATGTAATTTAGTCGAATTTTCGTTAAAAATGGATGTTTATGAAACACGCCATTAGCCCCTTATAAAACCATAAACTGTTCCATCAAGTTTCTTGTGTTACCCAGCCAACCATAACCCTGTAATAATTGCTTCCAAATAAAGACAAGTACCACAGTTAATTATTACGTTTTCATGCAAGAACGAAAGAAAATGTAATACTAGTAATGCGCAGACTAAGATGAATTCAACTGATTTCTCAATAACGAGTAGATTTTAATTGCAGATTACAACCAAATCAAAACAATTTATTAACTATAACATGGATGATGCATTTGTTTAAATAAAATATTGTGCTAATAATTCAAAGTGTACCCAATTACAACAAGTTTTAAAGAAACTAAAAGACTAGTAAAAATTACACAACGTTAATCAATGCCCGTCACTGTCGTTAAGTACGAAAGTTAGTGGGTGAAATAGACCCAAACTGTCCTGCCATGTGTTACTTTGTGTACACCATGGTGAAAACAAGTATATGACATTTGGAAACAAACCATTAGTATTCTTTGTTGGTTAACTTAAGATGTGTTATTATTTGAATGTTAAGGGTTTTGTCCAGATTTGCTGTTATGTGTTTCATGAATGGCTTGGTGTATAATATAAACGTAAACCAAGTTTATGAGAACGGGATAAAATCGCGATGGAGAGGTCAAGTTGAGCCTTAAAAGAGAAGTCCATAAGAGACTGTTATATTTAATTAAATTCTACGTTTGTAAAACGTACATAGATATTAGTTTCAACATGTTACACCAAAATAAAATTATAAATCGTAACTAAGTTAGATACCAAGTACTGTTTTGTCCGTTTGGTCCTCGCAACTATACTTAAGGTACTGCAACATTGTAAATGTTTGAACTGCAGGCAGCATAGGAGATAAACAGCTGCAATAAAACGGGGCCAAGGCCTAAATATCGCGGTTTGAAAAAGCCGTCAACTTTTTGTGGGCCCGTACAGACTAGGTGAAAGATCAACTCCCGTCTTTAGTCCTGCCAGTTTCATTCGCTTGAGCCTCATCAAAACGTATCGGCTACTTTAAATAAACGAGTCTCAAGAGATGCAGATATCAAACACTTTTTGACGTCTGTTTGTTGTACTGAATATCACATATACTGACACGCGTGCAGAACTTCTGAAATATTTCGGAATGGGACTCGAACACGTGATCAATACATCCAGCAATATAATTTAAAGTGAAGATAGCTTCAGTATTACATTTTACAATATGCTCCCAATGGGCTCCACATAACATGGATTTATTACTACATCCCAAGGCACCATAGCTGTGTCCCAACTGTGAAACTGACTCGGCCACAAAGCTTGTTTATAGGCAGCGTTACTTTTGAAGATGTGAATCTGACATGGCTGCAAAATACGGGTCGATCAATTTTATTGAACATAAATATTAGTTCGGTCGAGTCTCTTCGGTCAACGTGTGTAATATTAATGGGGGCAGAAATAAAAGAGGGAAAAAAGTATTTCTTTAAATCACACATTAGAGTGAGATTTTCAAAAATACACAACTATTGGAAATAGCAAAATTTGCAAAATACTTGTTTTCCTTTTCTGTTCCGAAGTATGACCTTCTTTCAACTAAGATTACAGAAATATTTCTAGTAATTCTAAGTTTATTACGAAAATTGAGGTAATTGTAGATCATTTATAGTATTTTCTAACTTCGCTAACAATATAAAACTAGTACAAAACTGACTGTTCCTATAATTCGTTGTAATTTATCAAAACGTCATTTTATATTGCTAGCCAAAAAAAACAAATACGGATTTCAGTAATGTTTGTGTAAAAGTTTTCAAAGTCGCTATTCTTTCCATGCACGAATATTGCACTTTAGCATTATGTAAAAGTGAAATTAAATATAAGAGAAATGAGACTTAACCACAAATACACACCATAGTTCTGATGTAGATAGATCAAATTAACCTACTTTTGGGTCGATTTTTTTAAACCCTTGGTCATCCTCTTCTACTTCAAAATAGATTTCTGTGGTGGTGATAGACAAGGTTCCTTTAGCAACGACCACCGGTGCGATTAACTGAGCTGGAGTACTCAGGACAACAGGCCCTGCAAGTGGATATGCAAATCTTTATTTTATAGATTTTAGCGGGCAACGTTATTTCAAATATACAGGCCATTTTCAATGCAATACTTTGACCAAATCAATTCACCGCAATCACTTCGGAATATTCTTCATGCACCGTGCACCAATGTTCACATTCAATCATGCACTTAATGGAACGTTACTTAGCACGCGCAATATTATCATGAATGCACATAAACCTAAAGAAAAAAAATGTTATTGATACTTTCTGAGATATCACTATGACAGATCATTAGATAACTATATGTGTAGGGGTTTCTGAACAAGATCATGAACCATTTCAGTTCCACAACGCATTCTGAAGTACATTTCATTGATGTGAACGTTCTTCATAGATTAACTTTGAAATAACGTGGAAAATCAGAACCCAACGTTTTTGTAAGTCTCAAATATATCACAATAAAGTATACGCACTGCACAGTATAGAAAACAGATCAACATTTGTTTTACACAAAACGCCTTTACACGTTGGTAAAATGCGTCGGTAGTTTTCAAATAATATCTTCAAATACTTTGATCACTAACAATGGAATGGAAAAATACGTAGAGTCTATTTCAGGTCTTGCTCTACACTGTAAACACATCTAAAGTTTTCTCGATATATTGCTGATCTCAGTCAGCTGACCATCACGTGAAATACTATCATCTGGATTCTGTGTACTCTCGTTCCAACATTATCCATATCGGCCACAACTAGCCAAACTCAAAATCTTTATCATAGGTATATTCTATCGATCACTACTACACTGAACTGCTCCTTTAATTTCTCATCAATCTTAATCTGGGCTGCTCAACCAATTATGTTCGATATTGTGGCAAGATTACAAGTGGATTTGGTGTGTATTCCCAAAGCTCCCCTCTTTTGTGCTTGGAGAAAGCACCGCGCGAAGGTCTTGGTTTTAGATCTCTTAGAAGAAATGTTTACTGATTCAGATAAAATATTTAGAATTTATCGATGTTCGTTTCTTTTCGACGGGAAGGCGCTTTCCAAAACACTAATTACATAGTGTAGAATCCTAACTGCAGAACATTTAGAGAGGATATAAACATTGTACTGTAGCCTGGAGGGAATTAGAGAAAGACTGGGACAATTTGAGGTTAATCCAGTGCAGCCGTAAGAAAGAGATTACGTTTTAATCTCTCATGGGATAGCGGCTCCATAATTAGGATCCAATATTAAAATGTTTGCATAAAACAGTACTCAAATAAACACACACTCAAACATCTGAGAACGAATCGACTATGAAAACTGTTTTTGTTTGTTTAAATATCGCCGGGAATAAAACAGTCTATTATCAGAACTTAATTTGAATAAAGTTGGAGATACCGTCTAATGGAATCTGTTCTGGCCTGATTTTACGAAAGGCTGAATCCTTAAAATGTGTATGTATGTCAACTGCTTTTTTGTAGTTGGTCTGTGTAAATGTTTCCTGCTTTTTAAAGAAATACAGTTTAGCCATTTATATTTGAATGGTTTCAAAACTATAGCTCACATTAATGGACTGAATGTATACTTTTGTTTCTTGCACAACGTATATTCCGATCAGATTTTTTAAAAAAAAGCTGCTAAAACATCCACGTCGTGAGCACGTATATGTTTATATTCGCATGTAATTAATTAGTCAGTTCCAAGTAACACCCACTAAATGGATGTTGACGTGAAGCTCAGTTTTTTCTACATCATTGTTCAAATGGAAATTAACGTTTACATCTATTTTTTAAAAACCTAGATTATAACCACCTGCAATATTTACCGTGGATAAAACAGCACTGCAGCACCGGAATTCTTTAACACTTGGCCAATATCACTGTTTGTCTGTGAAATTCGTAGATACGCGACGGGATGGGCACTTTAAGAGTAAGGGTGGAGATGTCAAGTATTGACAACTCAGGATATAGATAACGTGGAGCTACTAACAAAGGAAAGAAATGTGGAAAAAAATCTAGAGGTTTATCCGATTTACGACGATGGCTCATAAGTACACAAAAAACGTGCTGAAATCGGGAAAGGCCAGAAGCAAAAATCGTGATATTAGTGAAGGCAATAAAAGCATTGAGATCCGTCCTTAAGAGCAAAGACGTAGTCATGCAACAAGGAAAATGACAGCAACCTAAACCTATAGATCATTCGGCAAAACAGATCACTCAAGCCTAGGAGCCAAGGGGTATGCGGGAAGAGATACCCGAGAATAATAAAAATCTTTGGGCTGCGGCTTTCATGTTGATTTAAACTGAGAACGCGGAAAATGCAAAGATGAAAACCCCGCCCCCGTGGAAACGTAGTGAGAGAACAGAGAAAACCAATGACCTGACTCAGACTTGTCTTCCCGGGTACGCAACAGATGAATTGTAAAAAAGCAAAAGACTTGTGATATGGCGAATCAAACCTTGATCCAGCAGAAAATATTTGGTGCACCGATAAAAAAAGAAAAAAAGTGAAGAAAAAGCTTTTTGAGATAATTGACAGGAAAGCTGCACTGTGAACTGGAATTAGTCCAGCACGTTTAAACTCTGAAAAACATTCAATTATAGTAAAAACATCTTAACAGAATTTAAAGGTTTAGTTTGTACTTTTGAAATTTTATATTCATCATTCCTTTGAAAATATTTGCACAGAATATAACCGACACATCAAATCATTTGGTCATAATAATGAGGCTTGTCTGGTATTGTACTGTTTAATTTTACCATTTGTTGTGAATTTATTAAATTCAAAAAACAAGTTTAATGATGAGGAAAAATCAGTTGAAACAGCAACCATTAGTAGATCAGTTTTCTTAGCCAAGTCGTAACATTAGGAAATATATTTGGTTAAACAAATAGCAATGCATCACCAGTTGACGTTCATCTTCAGAAAAAACAGTATTAGCAATTTACTGCGATATTAGTTTTTACAGTCCATTATTAGATCACATGGTCATTTTAGATATTTTGTAAAACAACTGCTAGTGAAAAAGTGTCTCCTTTAGAGGTCTGATGTAGTAAATTTGTGACTTGCCTCTGGAAAGAAAGACTCGCACACAAAAAAGCGCTGGAATAGAAGTGAACAAGATGTATTGTTTAAAGGAATAGTAATGCAACTTGCGATCAAACCAAACTAGAAGTTCGGACGATCCATCTGTATTGAAGAGAATAATAACTACACGAAACTTACTTCAAAAGTCTCGTTCATGACATATTGTAAATACGATATTCTAAATAGGCTCATTTAAACCAATAATTTATTAATTGAAAACAATGTATTTTTTGAAAAAACGTTTTTCAATCAGTTCACAACGTAACTTTACGCAAATAATTAGTGTTTAATTTTCCACCTTTAACGTTATGATATGGCAATAGAATATATAGAAAACTATAGAATTATGTTCTATTGCTGTATTATAGCAATGCATCATCTTCAGAAACTGCATGAACAATGTAATGGCGGTTAATGCGCCAGCACATATATTGATCTTGTTCCTGGAGTTTCGGAAATTGGCAGATTATGGATAGCCTTTTCAATCTTGTGGAGGCTATCGTGCTACAAAACATGAACATTTCTCTGAACTATTCATTTCTCTTACTGTACTGGCGAGGTTCCGTTTGAATGTGGAACTTTAGAGGTGTATACAGCAGAAGAAGGGTCCCGACCCGAAAAGTCAACTTTCCTGCTTCTCTGATGCTGCCTGGCCTGCTGTGTTCCTCCAGCTCCACACTGTGTTATCTCTGACTCCAGCATCTGCAATTCTTACTATCTCAGACGAACACATCACTAGATTTTTCATTATAATAAGGTGGCTACCTGCTAGACAGAGCAACTCATCCTCTTTGTCTACTGGTGATTACCTGCCAGATTGTCGATCTCTTTCTCTTGTAACAGACTGACGGTATCATCATCGCCCTCTAACATGAGCTCGGTTTCCGCGTTCTGATTCACAATTGCCTGGGTCCGGAAAGTTTTCTTCGACTTTATAACATCCTCTTCTGCACCTGTAAGAAGAATCATACTTTGAAAGAACTCCTCCTCATACGCAAACCTGTTAAATTCCTCTTTCAACAGAGGTTTTCAATAATTTACATACAAATTTTAAAAACATTTTTGCGGAACAAAGACAAATATCTTCGGTAAACATTTGAATGTTTTTTGAAAATATCTATTTTTTGAAGGGACCGTTTTATTAGAGCGTCAGAATACAACTGTAGTTCGTAAAACAAGTAATTGTAGCGCGCTTCTGGTTCCGACCTACAATATGTCTGCATATAAACTAAGGACAAGAACACTAACATTGTGTTCAAAATATCTTAATCACAATATGATCGATCCGTCATATGTTGAGACTAGTTTTATATTTGTTTAACATTGCATTTGTCATTTTATAAATGCATGCAAATGCTAATAGTACAAACTAAAGCACACCGCCTCTTAAGAAAGGATATCCACGTAAAATCTAGCTAATAAAATAAAACTCATTTATAAATGTTAAGGCATTTCCGGAGAAGAGTCAAATTCGACTTCAAACGTAACTCCGTTTCTCTCTCCATAGTTCAGGACGTTCTTTTCGCATTTCAGATTTCCAGCAGCTGCAATATTTTGATTTTATTATTATGCATTCACTTTTGGGTTTATCTAAGAACGTGTTACGTACAACTCAAAAAAGTTTTGTATCTCATTTTAACCAGCTCATTCATAGTTCTTCACTAAGAACTTTTTAATCGCTTTTTTTTCTCCATGAACATTGTCCATTGAACTTAGTGAGAGAAAGAGACGGGGGAATGGCTTAGGTCTAGGTCATGGGGATCCAGCCTAGCTCTTAGCTTTTTAAATTACGTTTTGATGTGTCAATCACAGACCAGAAAAAAGCGGGCAGCAAAAAAAGACAGCTCTTTTAGTGACACAATTAATATTTGAATTGGAAAGAACTGAATGGTTAGGAATGCCAAAAACATTAAAAATCAGCTTTGGAATCAAGGTGGATAGTTAATATTTCGTTCTAACAGAAATTATCTTTTTTTCAAGCTACTTTGGAAATGGCAATCTCTTACTACAATTTATTTCTGAGCTCCACCTTGTGGATAAAAATATCTGTAGTTTACCGCGTAACAGATATTTCGTCTTGTGAAAGCGTACAATTACATAGCTTTTTTTCCCCGATAGGTTCTATTCCCTACTTATAGACACACGAGGATAGGAGGTTTGGCCTCCATGGTATGGGCGGCACAGATTTGGCGCCAATGTGGAATCCTGGAACACAACAAAATCATTGGTACACAGGTTCGTTTTATTTGCAGTGCAGCAACCTCTTCGAAATAGAGTGCTGTATAATGAAGTACTGTAGGAAAACAGCACTTGTTCAATACAGAATAAAATTGTCGTCAATTACATACTGAATCCTCTTTGTTAATTTTATTTTTGAAAATATAAAGTTGATTGGCAGTCAACATGCCAACAAATACAATGGCATGCAATAAACTGGAAGGTTATTGAATTACATAAATACACAGATACAGCATTTTCCGAAACTTAGCAGGTCTGGCGGCATCTGTGAAGACAGAAACATAGTTAATGTTTCATTCATTCTAAATGGTAACTGGTTTTCTTTCCACAGATGTTGCCAGACTTGAGTTTCTGCAGTACTTTCCTTCTTTATTTCAGTTGAAACTTCTTCAGATTAAGTCACTTAGAAAGCATTTAAAATGAATACTGTGTCTGAAATATTATGAGGATTCCCAAGAGGGGTCTGTATCTTTCAAAAACAAATCTAGGAAAGAACAAAAACTAAATTCAATGCTGTAAATGTAAAATGGATACCTTTCAAAAAAATAATCAAGAGAACTTCAAAATTCCACATTCTAGAAATGAGGTTCTACTAGAAGAACTTGTACAGTTAGGAGTTAAAGTGAAAAAAAAACAAAGCCTCCATTAATAATCTCAGGATTACTACCTAAGACAAGGTCAAATTGGGATAGGGTTAAAAAAAAATTAAGTGCATGGCTGAAACACTGCTGTAGTTGGAATATTTTTCAGTTCATCACACACTGGCACCAGAACTGGGATAGAAAGGAACGGTTCCAGTTGTGGCATTCTGACCAAATATCCAGGGAAATACAGAACCCTTTAAACAAGATAGATGGGTAGGAGGGTTCGGGAAAGGAAATACTTAAGCTTACAAAGAAAAGCGTATGATGGTATTATATGGTAGCTATTTAGGTATTGGCACACAGAGTGGGACAGGACGAGACATAGTGTACAAACATAGAAAATCAGCAGTAAATAGGATCCAATGAGGAAAAAATGGTCAAAAGGCAAAATAATTTGGCTCTTCACTTAAATGTCTGTAATGTTTAGAACAAAGTAAATAAATTAACAACACCAACAGGGGTAAATGGGTGTTATAGCTGTTACAGAGATCAAAGCCGGGAGCTAAATAGTCAGCAGCATCTGATTTTCAAAAGGACAGGCAAAGGTGGTACAATAGCTTTGTTGGTACAAGATGGAATTAGTGCAAAAGCAAAAAGTGACCTTGTATTTGAAGATGTAGATTCTCTGTGGTACAGGCAAGAAATAACAATTGGAGGAAGACACATGTGAGTAGTACATCTGCCCCTTTACAATTGCTATACTATAGGACAGAGACTGCATCATGAGATCATATAAAAAAAAGCAATCGAAACATTAAACATGGACGACTTTATCTTCAAGTAGAGTAGGAAAGTTAAATTAGCAGAAACAGCTACAAGGAAGAATTCATACAATGTATTTCAGACATAACCATGGAACAATATGGTGTGGATCAAGCCAGGGATCAAGTTGAGGTTGTGGACATGCTCGCTAAACTGGTGGTTTTGGTTGTAAACATTTCATCACCCTGCTAGGTAACATGGTCAGTGCGCCTCCAGTGAAGCGTTGGTGTTCTGTCCCGCTTGTTATTTACATGCCTCAGTTTGTTCGGGTGTTTGGTACCACTTCTGGTTCCAGAAACAGAACCGGAAATGGTACAAAACACCCCAACAAACTGAGGCATTTAAATAACAGGCGGGACAGAAGACCGACGCTTCACCGGAGGCGCACTGACGATGTTACCTAGCAGGTTGACGAAAAGTTTGCATCCAAACCCACCAGCTCAGCAAGCATGTCTACAACCTCATCCACAACCTGAGCTATAAATCTTCTTGAAAACTTTAAACAGGGATCAAGTTATTTTGGATTGGGTAATGTGTAATGAGGCAGGTTTAAAAAATGTTCCCAAAGCAAACAATCCCCCAGAAAAAAATGGCCATATTATGGAAGAATCTAGCATTTTGTTTGAGAGTGAGAAACATGTTTCAGTAACAACTATGCGAAACTTAAGTAAGGGTAATTTACAAAGGAATGGGGGCAGAGTTGGCCAAAAAGGGTTGGGAAAACAGCATAGTGGACAAGATAGTTGATGAACAATGGCCGATGTTTAAGAAAATAGTTCATGACTCACAACAATAGTATACCTGGTGAAGAATAATACTTTTAGAAAGGGGCTAAATCAACCATGCTTAATTGAGTAAATATCAATTTGAAAGAAAAGAAAACATGCAACGTGGCAAAGAATAGTGGTAAAAGAAGGGAGTGGGAACGTTTGAAAATAAAACAAAAGATGACCAAAATGAAGGCAGAAAATAAGATATGAGGGTAACTAGCAGGTAATATAAAACATGAAGTAAGTGCTTCCTTAAATAAAAATAAAGAGATTGGTCAAAGACAACATCGGCCCCGAGGGGAATAAAGCTGGGGAAATAACAATCGGAAACCAGGAAATGGCAGCAGGATTGAATAATTACTTTGCATCAGTCTTCAAGGTAGAAGACACAACTAACATGCTAAATAATCAAGGAGCAAAGGGAGGAGAGGAAATAAATATAGTAACTATCACTACATTATGAAGTACTAGGTCAGTTTAAGACTGATATGTCCCCTGGACTTGATGGCTTGTTTCTTAGAATATTAAAGGAAGTAACTGCAAGATAGCAGATGCACTGACAGCAATCTTCCAATAATTCTTACATTCAGAATAAGTCGTGGAGGATTGAAAACTGCCTATGTAATGCACCCTTATTCAAAAAGGAAAGGAGACAAAAAATATAACAATAGGACAGTTAGATTAACACAAAATGCTGAAGTCTCTTATCAAGGATTTAAAAGACCACTCATAAATACATAAGAGGATCAAGCAGCATGGCCTCATGAAGGGCAAATCATGCCTGACCAATTTAATAAGATTCTTTGAGGAGACAATAAGCAGAAACCCTGTAGATATAATATTTTTGGATTTCTGAAAGGCTTTCGATTAAGTTCCAGATGAAAGGCTACTTAATAAGAGAGTTCATGGTATTGGGGATAACATACTAGCATACATGGAGGATTGGCTAACTGATAGAAAACAGAGAGCTGGGATGAGAGTGGAATTTTCAAAATGCTAAACTGTATCTAGTGGAGTACTAAATAATCATTTACAATATACATTAATAACTTGGGTGAGTGAAGTGAATGTACTATCGGCAAGTTTGCGGATGGCACAAAAGTAAGTGGGAAGACAAGTAGCAAGGATGACACACAGAGTCTACAGAGGGCTATAGACAGGCTAAGTGAGTTAACAAAAATCTGGCAGATGGCATATAATGTAGGAATGTTATGCGCTTTGGCAGGAAGAAAAGAGAAGCTTAACATTATTTAAATAGGGTAAGACTGCAGAAATGTGGAGCACAGAGGGATTTGGTGGTCATCAAGAATGAATCACAAAAAGCTGATATATATATTCAGTCAGTAATGGGGATTCAAATAGGAATGTTGGCTTTTATTTCAAATGGAATGAAGTATAAAAATAGGGAAGTGTTGCTAAAACTATACAAGGCACCAGTTAGACCACACACCTGGATTATTGTGAATAATTTTGGTCCTATTATCTGAGCAAAGATATGCTAACATTGGAGGCAACTCACAGTGGGTTCAATAGGTTGTA